TACATTTATTGACACTTTAAATATGTAACAGTCGAAGACATGCTTGACTAATTTTTTGTTTCTTCCTGCGTGTTAAATTAACTTTTGTCCGTTAAACTGTGATTGCTTAAAATGTCTTCCTTTATCGGTGCCGATGATGCTGCCTGCTTCGAATGGCATGACATAATTTTGTTAGTACCCTGCGCTCCGCAATAGCAGAGCCCTTTTCATCTGCTCTGCAGAGACAAACCATGTGTTCACTGATCCCGTTATTCATCTTTCTACCGGTTTCTTCAGCGTACCTCTCCACACCAGCAGCTCACCCGGTATACCGTCCCGACATCGTCATGGTTTGGTATGTTGTTTTTCTTGTACACGAAGCTGATCAGTTTGTTTCTGGAATCATCATGAAACGTTTGATTTTTTCAGATAGTCTCTTCTGGCTACAGGATGACTAAGGTTTTGAAAATCTTCTCTGGCGATCGTCGTTTCTTATGGGTTTTAAAAATAACATTAAATATTCACTTAAAGTAAACTTATTGAAGTTTACAGATTGACCATACAACCGTAAAGGTGCCGATCTTTCAGTGGTAGCAGATCAAGGAGTACCTTCCATGACAACGGTACGTTTTGTGCTCTATTTTTGTCTATATTATAGCGGTTTATAAATTTAAAGCAAAATATGTTGGCGTAATGGAGCCTGTCATTTAGCTGGCATTTGTGAGGGGTTGGTTCACGTTTTAAGGCATCGACTATTCATGATTTGTTGCATGACCGATCTCAGCACTGGCTGTACTTCTTCGTATCATCGATTGTATACAAGGCAGCTCGCTGAAACCGCGTCCCATTATTTATTTACCAATACGCTGTTATGTGCATTCACATTTCGTGAGTCAGCGTACAAAGAGAATTTTTCCAGTTGTAACGATGATCGCTAGCCTGCAACTTCGGACATCCCCAACGATGACCACCGGCTTTCTTGCGTTTATCACGAAAGCAGCTAACCGATAGTTTACTTAATTAGTCTGTTCAATTCATTTCATTAGACGCGGTCGGTGTTGTGTTTGAATGGCTGCAAACAAAGAAAATCTTATTGTTTGCGAATGGCTACCAAGACAACGTGGACATACCACCGTCAGTTTGCCCGGTGAGATTGGCTTCGATTGATCTTTGCTGTTCGTCGCGAAAACACCCCTCTGATTTGAGGCATTTTGCTGACAGTTGAGCGGGAGAAACGCAACAACAGGAAGTAGTAGCGGAGGCAAATCAATTTTCCTGACTTCCACCTCAGAAATGAAAGATAAGAAATACGAGACAATCCATAAGTAACCGAAAGAGGTAGCTGTCGACAAGGTTCGAATAAAATTAAAATTTATTTTACGCCTGTAATGTAGTAGCAATGGTAATGATTTTAGCCAGTTTAGGCAACGTCGTTGTCGACTGCGTCAATTTATATAACTGAGGTGTCCGTTGACGCCATTAACCGTGTCATCGTCCAACGTTGGACAGCTCTCGGTTACATAATCGTCTTTGCCGTTGTCGCCCACGCGATCGCCATCCATTTTCTAGTTCTCGCTGCAGCTGTCTCTGATTCGGATCTTGATCAGCCTATCCTTTATTCGGCGAATACGCAAGTCCAGTTCGACTGGCAGCCGTGCATCTCATACCGAAGT